CTCTCTCAGACTGTCTATTCAACTCTAGAATGGAACTGGCGGGGCCCAGCCTGCTTTCCTAAAGGAATGTGGTAAGCACCCATTTAAGGGGATGGTGAGACTGCTCTAAAGGGCTTGGCAGAGGGCACAAACACCATCATGACAAATCTAAGCAGACACTGTTACAAGATAGCATTACAATATTGTTTAATGCAGATGATCCAGATTTTATCGAAGTTTACACACTTATGCATTATGAACGACAGATGCAGGGTTCCAGCAATGACTGCATGACAGTCTATCTTGAGGTAACATTATCGAGCTTTTGTTGTCTAATCAGTCACTGATTTCTTTCCACCCAAGCCTTCAATTACTGCTGTCCCAATGTTGCAGAACAATTCAAGTATAAAAAGCACACAGGAAACAGTAAAAAAAAGAAGAAAAAAAAAAAGGCCCAAATAACTTAGAATTGAACAAGCAAACAAAAATATTTTGCTCCTAAAATGACAAAGTAAAACTGTTTGTGAACTAACTGGAATTTAAATAAAAACTTTTTAAAAAAATGGCAAAAGTTAGACAACTTCTAAACCAAGGGTTTAGTGCACTTGAATGGGAAAGAAATAAATCTTTATTTTCACTAACTTCTAACTGAAATATAGCATTTCCTTCAACTATGAATGTAGGCCACAATCGACAGTCTATGAACAGTACCTGCGACTTTGTCACCAATAGAAACCACAGAGATTCAGATATCATATTACAATTGTTGCAGGTTATTTCGAAATAATAACCTGAAATTACTTTGGAATTACAGAGATTCTAGAACTACCACTAGACCTCAATTTATGTGTTAATAAAGAAGTACATATATACACAACCACAAAATCTTAAAAATGCCTTAATAACTATATTTTAACATAATTAGTTTCCTTTGCAGTCCTTTATATTCAGTGTTATGCATCTAAAAACATGATTCTGAGGAGTCCACAGGCTTTATCAGATCGCCAAAAAGGTCCATGGTGTGAAAAAGGTTATGAACACTTGCTCTCAACAAGTTAAGTCATCAACATCACAGGAAGAGAACACTTAATTGTGAAGTATATGGAGCTTCAACAATCACAAATTTGAGAAAACTATGCTTCCCAATCTAATTATTGCAAGGAGTCGGAAAATCCACAGATTGTACAAGGTAGCTTCTCACAGAAGTCCACATTTTCCACTATTTCATTCTTTTATCTCTATTACTGTACACATTTCTACCCCCGGACTCTAGTTTAAAACAAGTAGTCAAGGAAAGAAAGATTAAAAAGGTAGCTCAGATGTTGATGATACTCAAATGTAAACATGACTATCTTAGCAACTGGACACCTGGTGGGAGGGGCTCAGGAGCACACTGGGTTCATAGAGGCTGGGTTGGCAAACCTAGAATTTGAGCATAGTGATAAGTGGACCTAGCATTGTGGTTTAAAAATTTAGCCCAATATATGTCTGGTAAGAAGCTTGGGCTCCACAGAACAGCCTTCCCAGTCTGCTTGGCAACACTTAGATTGTGATCAGGACCCTGAGACCAGTCCTAGGATTTACCATCCAAACAATAATGTGGAGTGATAGAGAGACTTAAAGATAAGGGCTCAAAAATACATGTGAAGTAAAATGAAATAGTATTGGGCATTAAAAAAAAAAAGAACTCTGGGAATGGAATGGAATTTCCCATTTCAGTGTGGCTGGATAAGTATGCAATTTAATAGATCTTAGAGGTTACTACAGAACTGGTACCTTCAGCTTCTGAACTTGCCCTTCTGGTCTACCTCCACATTGTTGGCAAGTGAATGGTTCTAAAACACTGTAACTCTCTTGCTTAAAACCTTCCTATGGCTTCTATTGTGCTCAGGATCAAGTCCAGGTTTTATAAGGTCCTTTATTATCTTGCCTTCCCAGCCGCATCTATTGCTATGCTTTTGCATGCTCTATCACACACAACCTGCTAACCAATTTGCTGTCCCCACCCTTGAGCTTCTAGGTCTTTCAGTGCACGGCTCCCAGTGCCTGGAGTACTTTTTTGACTTTCCCTCCTCCTCCTCCAGGTTTAAGCTGCGATACCACTTCCTCCCATAGGTCCTCCTACGTCCTCCCATACTACTCTATGCTTATCTGGTCATAGACCTTATCACATTAATAGTCCCCAGACGTTGAGCAACAATTTTTGTTTGTTGCTGAAGTCCTATCACCCAGCACAAGGCAGGGCACTCAGGCTCTCAAGTGGTTATTGGATAGTTAAAACTGTGAATCTGGATCAGGATACCTGCGCAAAATCCCCACCATGGTGTGGTGGTATGGGGATTCAGATGAGACTTGTTTTATAGTTTGCTCCAAAAGTGGTGGTGGTGGGAGGGCTGGTTAATTTTATCAGAAAAGGTCTAGAAATAGATCAATAGATCAATAAATCTAGATCAGTAATTCCCAATATGTGTCCTAAGATACTTAAGAGCCCATAAAAATCTTAACAGCTATTTTATATATTTCAAAAATCACAGTAGAAATGGCACATGTATCTAAGATAAAGCCAGACCAATAACAAAGGATAAAGTTGTTTGCTTTTGGCTGCACTATCAGAGTAAAAATAGTAGATTTCATACGATGATCAGCAGCTCAGGTTGGCTGTTAATGCATGCCATCTCTCTGAGACAATATCGATAGGCCAGATAACCTGGTAATTTCTGACTTACTGGAAAAATGTATCATAAATAAAAGGGTCTATATAGTTTTGTGAGAAGATTGGGAACCTTGGGCCTAGATCATTCACTATGGTGGTTACTGCCATCTCTGCAACTGTCTGAATTAGTCTGTCTCTTAGACCAGGGACCTGATCCAAGGACCTTCTTGAGAGCCTGGGAGGTTTGAACCAGAGATTCAAGGGTCTTGACAATTTGCCTAGGACCAAGATAAGATTCTCAAGAAGATGCTGTGTGGTAGGCAAGCCAGGTGCTGCCTGTCTCATGGAAACAAGTGAAGAGGGACCCATCCAAGAAGGGCTAAACTTTAAAAGAAAGGACTGGTTTTGTTGCTTGTGATGGAATTTTAGGGTGGTGGTGAGTTTTTTGTTTAAAGTAAAACTCTTCCCGAAAATGTCAGTCTGGTTTAATCATGCTAAACTGAAAAAGGCAGAACACGAATATTTGAGTGCCTACTAAATAACAGGAATGACTGGGTATTGCCACATACATGGGGTTGTCTCATCAACAAGAGGGGAAAGTCTGTGTAAACTTGAATCAGGACTTTCAAGAGGAATGAGAGTGTCTCAGGGGTACCTCATTCAAGAAGCAAAGAGAAACAAGACCAGGGGAAGGGGGCAGAATCTAGGACAATTGTCCAGTCGCTCCTTATGCAGGCTTCACTTTGTGCTGTTTTAGAAGGGAGGCCTCTCCTCAGGCCTCGGGGCTCTCAGGCTCCCACACACGTGCAGCACTTGGCAGATCTCCCCCTCAGCTTGCTTCACTGGGTGCATTACTTTTAAGTCTGTGCCCCATTAAGGGATATAAGTATGTCTCATGGGGCGGGGAAATAAGACTTTTTTTTTTTAGGTGACTCTAATCTTTGCCTCATGTTTTTCAACTGTTTTCTCACAAGAAATAAGAAAGAGACAATGACCGCTAGATGACTGCCCAGTAATTCCTTCCCTCTTCCCCATCTGGATGTGTGCGCATACTTTCAAACCCCTCTCCCAAATCTAGACAAACTTTAAGAAACCCAAACCTATCATTTTGTGACCCAAGTGTGACTTGTGTAGTTAACTGTGTTTCCTCCTGACCCTAAGCAAGCAGACAGCCCATGTCAGGTGAAGGTGTGACTCCCTGCGCTCAAGCCGCCCTACCACCCGCACCAGCAACGCCCCGCGAGTCAGGAGAGCACTGCTCTGCAAAGTTCCGTAACGCTTCATGCTGTGACGACACTGGATCATGTTGAGACTGTGGTGCACTGTGTCACCTAATGTCACCCTTACTCTTAAATCTGCATTACTGTAGGTTAAAGGAATGATAATAACAAGTCTTTGCCAAGTGTGAAATCTATACTTAATTCTGCATCACAAGAGTCTGATTCTTATTGTCAACATGAAACGTTTTCTCTGAAAATATCTTTAACTTACACATGGTATGCTTTCTAACAGAGAAAAATAGCTCTTTGGAAAGACTCATCCAACAAAAATTCTAGAGCCTATACAAAATAACATAAAACGTACTTCTTAGAGGGTCATCTTTGCTTCAGTTTGTTCTCTGGTCATCCTATTACATAGCAATAGACAGAACATTTCATAATTCTTTTCCGGTTGGGTAGGGGTGAAAGGAACGATCTGGAAAATCAGGACTATATTAACTCAAATTTCGGCACATAATTATTCAAATAAAATTTTAATGATTTCAGTCAATACAACTGAAAGTGTAGTGTCATTAAAGGGCATTTCCTGCTAAATCTCAAAATACAGGTTGTGGGCCTTTCTGAGCAAAAGCATCAAATCCTATGGAGTATTCAGTTTATTAACTAAGGTGACAGACAGACAGTATTATGGCAGGAGGTGGGGAACAGCAATGATCAGCTCACAGAATGTGGCTAAGAAAGAAAACAAACAAAAACAATGTAAATAATAAAATAGCTACAGGTATTAGTAAAATAAAAATGCAATCCCAAACATCCATCTCTTAAATTACTAGAAAAGAAATTACAGATAAAGTTACAGCAAATACAGTCTTCACAGATTTGGGTAACTTTATTTGCATTTTATAGTGATTTTTAAGTCCTATCCAATGAAACC